CTTTCACATAAATACCCCTGGCCTTTGTCTCCTAACAGAAACACTATTTGGGCTTCTGCCTGAATCAATACATCCCAAATAGCTATTCTTTAATCTCAAACAGATGTTTGTTTGCCTCTCACTTTGAAAGGGCTTTTGTTTTTAAGTTAACAGGCTAAAATCAAGATGTCCGTCGAGGTGGGTCCTTCTGGGGACCTGAGGGAAGAATCCGCTTCATCAGCTTTTCCGCCTTCTCCAGGCCACCTGCATTGCTTGGCTTGTGGCCCCGTCCTCCACGTTCAAGCACATCATTCCACCCTCTGCTTCCGTCATCACTCTACCTTCTCTGACTCCGACGCTCCTGCCTCCCTCTTACGATGGCCCGTGGGGTTACGTCAGTCCCACCTGTATAACCCAGGCTACGCTCTCCCTCTTAAGATCCTTAACTTAATCACTTCTGCAAAATCCCCTTTGCCATGTAAGGTAACATTCACAGGGTTTGAGGATTAGGATGTGGACACATTTGGGTGTCACTGTTCTGTTTACCACAGTGCGTGGTGTTGGAGGGATGGCTCAGATTCAGGCAATGGTCTGTCACGCCACATGGAACTGGTTAGTCATTTTCTGGGACAGGCCTCTGTCAGGAAATCCAGACGAGCCCCTGGGAATTCTGCCCACCAACACCAGCAGGAGTGGGAGGACAATCTTTTGACAAACCCACTCCAGTTTTAGACTCTGAAATCTGAGCTGTGACGTAGGCCGTCCTGCCCCTTGGCTAGACCTTGCATCCAAACCATTCGATAAAGCCTCTCAAGATAGAAATGGGCCAATGAAGAGCTGGCCTTGTGGATCTGACATGGCCTCAGTGTCCCCACTCACAACAACGTGTGGAAGCAAAGAAATCGGTGGCTTGTTGAGATCAGGAAAAACAAAACAGTACTAGCTGTGCCAAATCCACAGAGGTTTGGGAAAGGCATTAGCCAGCTGCCAGAGCACATTGTCTCAGGGGTCAGTGCAGGTGGCCCCTCAGGGAAGCACCTCTAAGAAGTGGCTGGCAGCCACCACTCAGCTCACTTTGTGGCTGGGGCTGAGGACCAGGACTTGGGAGAGTCCTGTGAAACAAACAGCGCCAAAGCTGCCTGTTTAAAAAACGAAGAAAGAGAAAAAAGGAAGGAGGGAGTGGGAAAGGAAGGAGGGAAGGAAGGAGCGAAGAGGGGATGAGAAAGGAAAGGAAAGGAGAGGAAAAGGGGCGGGGAATGAAAAGAAAGGAAAAGAAAAAAGAGGAGAGGCGAAGGAAGGAGAGGAAAAAACTCCAAAGCCATTTAGGCTCTCAGTACGTCCTCCTGCTGAGATAAGAGGCCCTTCCTCAGAAGCCAGGAGGCTCTTCCGTTTTCATTGCAGCAGGATTTCCTTCTAGAGGCCGAATCCAGCCTATATGCATCCATTTGGGTCATTTTTTCAAGTGGGTATCTGCTTTTTTGCATGTTTCTGGAAAAAGCATCCTTTGGAGACTCTGTGTATTATCTGAGTTAATGAATAAACATCAGTGCTGCTGCAGGGGCCCTAGGTGAGTGGGGAAGAGGAGCTTCCTATTCTGTTGAGTGTGAGAAGCACACCTTCCTCAGCCTCCCCAGACGAGCGAGTGTGACTCCTTTCCTGCCCTCAGCCGCCCTTGCCCAAGACTGCCACACACGACCACGACTGTCTGGAGAGTGGAGCCCCAGCCAAGATGCAGTTTGGACTCTCCTCCCCCACTTTTTTCTTTTTTGACAGCGCCCCCTTCCTCTTCCCCTCAGTTCCAAGGGAAGGTGGGCTGGACCCTCGGAGGGTCTTCAGAATCCTGGAGTGGGGCTGAGGCCAGGAGGGGCCGACGTTGGCACTAGTTATCCTTCCCAGGACCCCCACCTTTGCACTCTTGGGTCCACTGTTCAGAGCAGGGAATGGGGAGGGGGAGAAGAAAGAAAAGACCCTTGTATTTCTGTATACACATACCTATATCTACATGTTGTATAATAGAAACACATAGATAGATGTTACACGGATATAGATCCCAAATGTCCCCTAAATCCAGTTAGAGAGAAACAGAGATGTGTACCAGAACCTTCCTTTTAACTCATACCCTTTATACATTGGTCCCCCTGCATACACACTTGCCAAGGACTGGTATGAGTGATATTCTATCCATGCTGCCCTTCAGAGGCCAATTCAGGTCCTTGGAGTCTGGTCAACAAATGTTTGCAGGCCAACTTCTAAGCTTAGCTCTCTGTGGGCCACCTTTAACACGCCCAGGCCACCCTGCCTCCCAGCACAGCCCGGACCAACCAGGCCGGTCACCTGGCCTTCCCTGAATTCCCCTTTGCTCCTTCAGGCCTCTCCCTGCATATTTTTCCATGAACTCACCACCCACACTTCCGTGGGCAGCCCAAATGCTACCCGCATCCTAACACAGGGACCACATGCAATTTTTCTCTCCTGCTCAAATTCTTCTAAGATATGAGATCTCCTTTGGCCCAATAGGGGTGTGTGTGTGTGTGTGTGTGTGTGTGTGTGTGTGTGTGTAACACATGCACGTGCATGTGCGTTTGTGGTGAGGAGGGGAGGGGAGAAAGGATGGGGGTGAGGTGAGTGGGAGAGGAGAGATGGAGTCACTTGCATCGAATGTCCTTAGTGGACAGGAAGCAATGATAATTTGCAGTGAAAGTGTGTATACGTTAAAACGTTACATAGAAATGGGTGAAGTTTTAAATGGAAAACAAAGCCCTTATCCTGAGGTGTCTAGCATTTCTCATACTTTACAGTAAACCCCACTAGATCCAAATTTAAGTGAAGCTCAAGTAAGAGCGTGGTAGTGTGAGCTTCTTTTAGATTCCCAGGAGCAATAAATTTCTAAATCTAGCTGGATTCTCGGTCTATGTGGATTTTAGCCTTAACTCTAACCATTAAACAGGAAGGACAAACAGAAGTTTATAAAATTCGTGTATTCCTCCCCAAAACAGAAAGATGCTATCACTGCCTTGTTCCTTCCAGTGCACTAATTAAAGTCAGCGTATTGTGTGGCTACGTCTCCATGATGTCATGGCCACTCCATTTGTGATGGAAATACCACACCTGTGTGCTGAGTTTATATTTAGCCCCCAAAGCTGAGTCATCAGAAATAGCAGAGCAAAGTGACTCTATTTTAATTAAATGTTACTACATTCTCTAGGAAATCACACCTGAGATGATTTCTACCCTGGAGAGAAGGGAAAGACATCAAAAATGATTGGTAAAAATTATCAGATTCCTAAATATAATGCAGCTAGGTTGAATGAGACAAGACCCTGCCTTCTCAATCAGACTGAAATGACACATTAAAAAGAAACCACTTTACTTTATCCACAGCTCTTGTTCACCAGCACCTTTTATGCTCATTTTCCTCACTCCCACTGTGCACCAGCATCATTCAAACAGTCAATAAATATTTTCTAAGACACTGCATCCCGTTGCCAGATAATCCCGGAACTGCCCGGGAAGTCTTCACCACAAGTTCCCTGGGAGTGGGGGAAATGTCACACCAGTGTCATTCTATGGTCTAGTAGTCCCTACTGGAGCATGTAATTCCATTTGGCCTTCACAAGCCAGTGAAGGGGAAGTTCACTCCTGCACTGATTCAGGAGCTCAGAAAGGACAAGTGACATTCCTCAAGGGGTCCAGGCAGGTTCTGAACCAGCTCTGCCCAGTTCTAAGGCTGGTGCTCTTAACCTCTGCACCATTGCGTGGCCTTGGCTGGGCCATGTTTCCTGGAACTCAGAGCATGCTGCAGTGGCATGTCAGGCTCTAGGACCACTGGGAAACAAGAGAACTGGAGTCCAGCATGGTACGCAGCAACTGGACCAAGGCCCCTACTTTTAAAGGAACCTACACAGTCCAGGAACTCTTAGAAGCAGACTCATAAGTAGGCGCTTCCTTCTGCCCAGCCAAGGAACACACAAAGATGGTTTTTACCTGCTTGGAACAGAAAGGCTGTGAGTTTTTCTGTTTGTTTTTGTGTGTCTAGAATACAGTCACCATCACTCATAAAAACAGCAGCAGCAGCTAACATTTAATGAGAGCTCAGGATGTGCTTTTCCCAGATGACCTCATGATACCTTCCCAATCCTGGGAGGTAGAAACTATTACTATCCCCACTTTGTACAGATGAGAAAGCTGAGGCCCCAGGCCCCTTTTTTAGAAATTGTGACAAAGTAGGAAGATCTAAAGGAGATTGAAAGGGCCGGCCAAGCGGCTCAGTTGGTTAAGAGCTTGCTCAAGAGTGCGAGCTCTGAGCAACAGCGGTTCGATGCCCAGCCCAAGCTGAGCTGCCGCTGAGCTGCCAACAGGTGGCAGGATGGCTCAGCTAAAAAAAAAAAAAAAAGCTAACTTTAAAAAAAAAATTAAAAAGTAAAGTAGACTGAATAACATATCCATTGCCGGTTGAGGTCACCTGAGACCATCAGCCACCTTGCACTTTCATGGGGAGGTTTCCTACGGGCTGCCCCTTCTGTCCTCATCTCAGGACAGTGCTTCTCATCACCAGATGAGAAAATAGAGGCTTGGAGCAGGTAAGCCCTGGCCTGGGTGCCAGCACTGTAATGGACACTGCTGGGGACAGAATTCTGCCCAGGGGGTTGGGGTAGAGGCTTATAAGCCCAACTAAACCCAGGAGTCAGAACTTGGAGCTTTGGAGCCACTGAAAACCACTTAGTCCTTAAAAACCTTTTTTGTTTAATGTTCAAGCTCTTTTTTAAAAAAAAATCAACTTGCCAGAAGGTAATATGAAGCTCAGACACACGTGATAATAAAGGAAATTGTCACTGTTGAGTCATCCCAACAATGTGCTCTGCACAGCTAAATGCACACTGGAGGAGGCTCTGAGCCCTGGGCTGCAAGTACACATATAAATACGTTGTAGCTCAAGGTACCCCAGCACCAGGGCTGACCTCCAGCCTCCCACTCTGCTCTGTCTCCCACATTTTCATGATTATGTTTATTTGAATTTCCAGATGCATCAAATAATCAAGAGAATTTGGGCTCTGGCTGCAGACCCGGAGATTGGTTTTGATCAGAGACACCTGGTGGCTCTTGAGATACACCACACTGCAAGGGCACTACTAGCCTTGCCCCAAGCACGCAACCAATGGATGTCAAGGAAGCCCAGCTTCTGCTAAGGAGAGTATCCAGCGTCTCTTTTGCAGGGAGGGGGGCGGCCCAGAAGGGCACAATGGAGCGGGGCTTTGTGGCCAGAGCCAAGTGGGCTTGAATACCCTTCCGGCTCTGTGTCCTGGACAGTTATCCTGATTCCCCTCAGCTTGGCCCCATCTGTGAAAATGGAACAGTGATGCACTTAGCTCTTAATGCCATTGTGAGAACTAGCTGAGCAAGAGTAACGGAGCCGACTGTAGTACCCATGGTATTTGTCTGTTGCCTGCCCTTACTGAGACCTGGGTGCCCGTCAGTTCACAACAGGTCCATCCTGGGGCCCACTACAGCGCTTCTGTGCTCAGATGGTTACAGTTTGATCAGTGCAGGCAGGCTTTGTTCCCTCAGGGTCCTAATGCACTACACCCACAAAGGATATCCCTCCACGAAATCACGTTCATGGGGTTTTCTCTTGAGAGGCAGGGGTGCTGCTATTATGACAGCTTTTTTTCCCCTTTATATATTTCAGTATGCTTAAATTTTAGCTATAAGCAGTTATTTTTATATTAAGAAAAATAATAACTACTTCCTTTTCAGAGGAAAAAAATGTTAGAACTTCCATCATTGTTCTTCATCTTAGCCCTTGGATGATTTTGTATCTGTTTATTTATCTTTTTGAATAGAATAAAGGAGACTCTGGGGTTTTGCAGAACTATTTAATATTCTCATATGCTATCCTTTAATTTCAACTGTTGTCATTGTCTTCATACAAGGGAAAACAGCACACAAGAGACATCTCCCTCTGGAACGAACCCAAACAATAGTGTCTATTTCCCTTCCCAAGCTGAGTCTGAAAATGAGGAAAGCAGAGTGATTTCATTTCTACCAGCTCCACAGTACTTTCCAATACCAAATCAGCTTTTCCACACATCAAGGTAATCTGAAAGGGAAACTGATAGAGCACAAGTGGTTGCTTAAAGCATTTTTTGGTTTTCTTTACTTTTTACTTACTTTATTTTCTTTTTATAATTAAAGTTTATTGGGGTGACAATTGTTAGCAAAGTTACTTAGATTTCAGGTGAATTTTTTTTTAAACAAATGATGCGGTTAAGAAAGAATTGTATGCAAAAAAATAACTCAAGAATTTTATATACATTAGGGAATTTATCTATTGAAATACCAACATAAATTTTTTAAAGCAAAAAAAAAATCCTTCTGTAATCAAATAATCTTTTTCTAATTAACCTCTTTGATTGGCTGATTTTGCTATGCTGGATTTTCTTAAAATAAAGGTCACTTATTAATCTTGGTTCCTTAGTAAACAGTACAATTTTGGGTGATCTATTTTGTGATAGGTCAATTCCCAGTTGTCATTAAAAAATACTAGAATTATTACATTCATTTATTTAAAAAGAGATCACACCATAATTCTTCACTAAGGTCTTAAAGATTGAAAACTTACCAGGAATGGACAGACATTATGATTTATTCTAGTACATGTGGAATCATATCAGGGATATTTGCTCAAGTTTTAGAAAGCACCTATTTTCTAAAGAAATGGAATCCCATAAGCAGTGGTATCAACCTTCCCTTTCTACAATGGGACTGGCACACATGAAATTCCCATACTTGGGCATCCAGAAAAATAGTCAAGCATACCTGGCACGAAGACCTACAGGGCATGCTGAGTGTGCTGTAACACTGGCAAACAGTACAAACCCATGACTGACTCTCTAGCTGTGCGGTCAAACTGAGCCACATAATAATCACCTCAATGATTCTACAGAGAAGTATTGGTATCAGGATGTGAAAGGGGGGAAATCTCAAAATTTGATATAGGATTATGTCACCAGTGAGCCTGTGAAACTTATAGTTAGAGCAAAGTTCTAAAGTGTGTCAGTGATGACTTCATAATGTCTATTTCTCTTTTAAGGAAGGTGACCATATGGCCCAGTTTGCCTGGATAGTCCTGGTTTAGGCCAGTTGTCCTGCAATAATTATTAATAGGAACTCCTTTCATTCTTAAGTGTTCTGGTTTGGATGATAAATGACCCTGTCCCCTCACCTTCAGGTGTAGCTCACTTAGGGCCCACCCACCTCTCCCTGCCACTCTAAGATGCCTACAGAGCCTTCCCAACAGAGCCCCTTGGTCCAGATTTTTCTACTACTGCCCCCACAAACCCAAAACGTAGCGCTCCAGATTAAAATGTGTGCATTTGAGAATAGCCTTTTGCAGACAATCACCCTCAACCAGAGACATGCATCTAATGGGCTGCCTGGCCCAGTGGGACAGACACCCAGGTGGGGGTGGTCCTTCAGAGTTCTCCCCACACTCCACTGAGGCAGGCATTTGGGAGGAGCTCACACATTGTCGGGGATGACAATCAGAGGGCTCTGGCCACCCTCATGTCCTCCACTGTTAAAACCCCACCCCTGAAGAGATCCAAGATGGCGGAGTAGATAAACACTGTGCCTGCTTCCCTCATCCCGTAAACACATCAAAATTACAACTAAATTATAGAACAATCAACCTGAGAACCATCTAAAGTCTAGCCGAACAGAAATTTTATAACAGGATATAAAGAAGCCACGTCAAGACTAATAGCAAGGGCAGAGACACAAAACGGGCTGGCCCCACACCCATGTGTGGCGGTTGAAAATCAGGAAAGATAGCTCGGCCACAAAAGTTCCCCCACAAAGGACCAAGGGATCCCAGCCCCCCACACCAGGCTCCCCAGCCCTGAGTACTGGTGCCAGGAAGAGAAGTCCCCACAACTTCTGGCTGTGAAAAAATGGGGATTCTGATCTTTCAGGTGGGGTTCAAGACTGCGGGAAACCCAGACATCCTCTAAAAGGGCCTGTGCAGGCACTACCCCTGGGCTCTGGAAAAGAGACGGTGACTCTGGGGGCATCGGAGACATATGGGGAGAGACTGAGTTGTATAACTCAGAATGAGGGCAGTCCCCATTTTCCCTGTGTGGGGTCCTTCTCCCATGCAGCTGGCAGGCAGGTGCCATCTTTCCTGTGTTGAGTCCATCCCCACAGGCTAAGTCTGAATCTGATTGGCCTGGTGAGCTCCACTGCTCCACCCTGCTGACTCACTGAAAACTTGCCTCACCCAACTTGCTTACTGTAAGATGTAAGAGGCTTTATCAGCAGCCAAACCCTACAGGAGCCGGCAGGTGGCAGCCGGCCTTGGAGTGTCCTGGGTTTTTGTGGAGCTACCTCAGACCTGGTACTGGTGGCAGCCTTCCTCAGTTTGCAGCATGGCCTCTGCCACACACCTCCAGGTCCAGCAGAGGCAGTGACCAACTGTGGATTGCTTTGTAGCTCCTACCAGGTACTCCGCAGCCAGTCACAGGCAGTGGCTGACCTAGGCTTGCACTGGAGCCCCTCCCAAGAGGCCCCAGAGCCAACATAATTGGAGGTCAACTTCAGATCACAGCAGAGCAACACCCAATTAGCCCCATAAGCAGCACATACAAAGGGCGGTCTCAACAGGGAGTAGAGCCCACTGGGGAAAATCCCACTCCATGGGTTAAGTCCCCTGCACAGCAGCCCATAAGCTGTGTACATGGCCAAATCCCACAGCCAGTCAGCCTGAAGGTCAATACCCCCCACTAACATGCCAATAGCAATGAAGGCTAAACTATAAAAGGACAGCACACACAACACACACAAGGGACACTCCTGGAGCACCTGGCTCAGGTGACCAGGGAGACTGTGCCACTGGGCCCCACAGGACCCCTACTACATAAGGCTACCCTGCAAGACTGGCAGACATAGCAGCCCTACCTAATACATAGAAACAAAGAGAGGCAACTAAAATGAGGAAACAAAGAAATATGTCCCAAATAAAAGAGGAGAAAACTCCAGAAAAAGAACTAAGCAAAATGGAGGCAAGAAACCTACCAGATACAGAGTTCAAAACAATGGATATAAGGATGTTCAAGGAACTTAGTGAGAACTTCAACACAGAGATAGCAAGGACATAGAAACCATAAAAAAGAACCAGTCAGAAGTGAAGAATAACTGAAATGAAGAATACTGTAGAAGGAATCACCAGCAGAAGAGATGAAGCAGAGGATCGAAGGAGGGATTTGGAAGACAAGGTAGCAGAAAATACCCAATCATAACAGCAAAAGAAAAAGGATCTAAAAAAAAAAATAAGAAGGGTTTAAGAGACCTCTGGGACAACATCGAGCATACCAACATTCACGTCCTAGGGCTACCAGAAGGAGAGGGAAAGCAAGGGATTGAGGATCTATTTGAAGAAATGACGGAAAACTTTCCTGACCTGGCAAAGGAATGAAATATACAAGCCCAGGAAGCGCAGAGAGACCCAAAAAAGATGAACCCAAATAAGCCCACACCAAGACACATTATAATTAAAATGGCAAAGGTTAAAGACAAGGAGAGAATCTTAAAAGCAGCAAGAGAAAAGCAGTTAGTTACCTACAAGGGAGTTCCCATTAGACCGTAAGCTGATTTCTCAACAGAAACTTTGCAGGCCAGAAGGAATTGGCAGAAAATGTTCAAAGTGATGTAAAGGAAGGACCTACAACCAAGATTACTGTACCCAGCAAGGCTATCATTTAGAATTGAAGGAGAGGTAAAAAGCTTCCCAGACAAGAAAAAGCTGAAGGAGTTCATCACCATGAAACCAGTATGACAAGACACGTAAAAGGGACTTAAGATGGGGAAAAAAGATAAAAAGTATAAATAATAAAATGGTAATAACTACATATCTATTAACAATTGCTTTCAATGTAAGTGGATTAAATGCCCTAATCAAAACATAGGGTGGCTGAATGGATAATAAAACAAAACGCTTACATATGCTGTCTACAAGAGACTCATTTCAGATTGAAAGACACACACAGATGGAAAGTAGAGGAATGGAAAAAGTTATTTCATGAAAATGGAAACAAACAAACCAAAAAACTGTGGTAGCAATATGTATACAAAATAGACTTTTAAGCAAAGGCTATAACAAGAGACAAAGAAGGACTCCATAATTCCACTTCTGGGTATTTATCTGAAGAAACCCAAAATGCTACTTCGAGGGGACGTGTGCATCCATATATTAATTGCAGCATTGTTTACAATGGCCAAGATGTGGAGGTGGCCTGGGTGTCCAGCAGTGGATGAATGGATAAAGAGGAAGTGGTACATATATACAATAGAATATTGCTCCGCCAGGGAAGGGAATGGGTTTTTGCCATCTTCGGCAGCATGGATCAACCTGGAGGATACTGTGCTGAGTGAAGTATTCAGACAGTGAAATACAGGTGCAGTACGATTTCATTTATATGTGGAATCTAAAGAACAAAATAAATAAACAAAACAGAAACAGAGGGCCAGCTGAGTGGCGCGATTGTTAAGTGCTGGCTTGGGACGCCAGAGGGCCCCAGTTCGGATCCCACATATGAGAGCCAGTGACACTGCCCTCTACAACTAAGATGCTGAACAACAGCTCAACCTGGAACTGGGTTGCCGTAAGTCACCAGCGATGGCATAGGTTGCAGGTCCAGCTGCAGTGGTTTGCCATGGGCTACCGTGTATAGCCAGCAGCCAGCGTGAGCGGCCAGCAGCCGCCATGGGTGGCCGTCCAGAAGCCAGCGACTGATCTGCCTCGTCCGGGAAGAGCGCAATGATGGTGCCAACTTGGGCCAGTGAAGCAACATCCTCCACAACTAGACTGAAGAACAAAAGGACAGTAACTTGTCTGTTCCCCTTCCCCCAATTCCCCAGTGCTGTTCCCATCCCCCTAATTCCCCAATAAAAATCTTAAAAAAAAACAGAAACAGACTCATAGATACAGAGAACATTTTGATAGTTGCCCGATAGGAGGGAGGTTGGTGGTGATGGGTAAAAAAGGGATTAAGAAGTACAAGTTGGTTGTTGTAAAGTAGTCATGGGGATGTAGGGTACAATATAAGGATTACAGTCAATAATATTGTAATAACTACATATAATGTCACACGGGTACTAGATTTATCAGGGTAATACATGGGAAGGGGGTTGGGGGTAGGGTGAAAAGGTGAAGAGATTAATTAATAAGTACAAATTGGTAGTTGCAAAATAGTCATGGGGATGTAAAGTAAAGCATAGGGAATATAATCAATAATATGGTAATAACTATGTATAACGCTAGGTGGGTACTAGACTAGTCAGGAGGATCATTTCTTAAATTATATAAACGTCTAACCACTATGCTGTACACCTGAAATTAATACAATATTCAACTATAATTGAAAAATTAAAAAAGGGAGGACAAGGTAAAGGGGAATAAAGTTTCAAATCTCCAGGTATAAAACAAATAAGGCATGGAGATGTAATATACAGCATGGGGAATATAGTCAATAATACTGTGGTAGCATGAAACAGTGTCAGATGGCTGCTGGACTTATGCTGATCACTTCTTTAGGTATATAAATGTTGAATAACTATTGTGTACACCCAAAACTAATAGAATATTGTACGCGAACTATATTTTTAATAAAAATCTTAAAAGAAAGAAAGAAACCATCCCTCTCTCCCCCGAAAAGGCACCGAGCGCAAAGCCAGTCCCTTGCAGTTCTCCCTGAAGACAGCACTGCCCACCCTTCACCACACTCCTCACTCAGACACGGCCAGCCAAAAGCACATCTTCTGATGAAAAAGAAACTTTATTCTAATATAGCACGGAAAGTTTTTGAAGTAGAAATTGTTCTTATCTAACCAAAAAAAAATTCCTACACTTCGAACATCTAAAAGTTGATTTTTCTGTACAATTATACAAATATTTTTATGTCTGTATAAACACAATATTTACGGTCCTAAAAGTTTTTTGAAAAATCAATACAATGAGATTCTTTAGATGATGATTAGCCTAGTTAGAAAACGAGAAACATTCCCCAAGCACAGCAAAGAATAAAGATGACACCAGCGGGGACACATGGCAGGAAGGTGCTGGGGAGGAAAAGGGAGATTGATAACAATAGAAACAGAACCCTGCACGTGGATTTTAGAGGATAAGACCCAGCAAAAACAGAATTATATGCAAAAGTGAAAACAAACCATCCAAGGGAAATGAACTTGACCATGAGGTCATCAAGTGAGATGACCTCATGATCAAAGTTCAGTCCACATCAATACATCACCTGACAGATTTGTTCTTCCAGGAGCAAGGGGCTTTTTCTTGTGTATTCTTATCAAGCAAAATATTCAAAGTGGAGCCGAGATAAAGAAAAGACTTCAGAGCCAACAGACATGGATTCAGACCCCTGTTCTGGCATATATACTGGCTGTGTGATCCTGGGGAGGATACTTAGCCTCTCTGAGCCTATTTTCCCACTTGTGAAAGGTGGACAATAATATCTACTTTGTTGGTTTGTTGGGAGCATTAGAGGTAACTTATAAAAAGTGTTTACATTGCCTTGGAAAATAACACATTCGATAAATAAAATTATTTTTTGTGTATGACAAGGGATTCACCTTAGGATTTAGACAGGCAGCACATTTAGAATTTAGAATAGGCTTTGCTCTACTTATTCTAAGATTCTGATTCTACTCGTCTATTCTCATGTGGTCTGTCAATCAACACCAAATTCAGAGTCTAAAACTAGCTACAATCCTGCCCCTCCAACGTCATGCAATCACAAAGAGCCACTGAAAGTTAGAGACAGACTTCCCTTTGGGAAATTGCAATCACCCCTTTCCTAAGGCACCAACTCAACATGCAGAAGTAGAAGCTCATGAAAAGAACTGTGATTTCCTCTAATTTGGGTATCACTGTTTTCCTTGGAGGTGAACAATATAATCGAAGCTCCTGAAGCCACAAAGGAGGTTCCTATGCATGAGCCTTCCCCACAGGACACCTGCTTTAAGCACCACAGGCCTCTCCGGGTCCCAGGCACCTGAACCCCACAGGAAGCTGGATTTCTCAAGTCTCAGGCTCTGAGACCCTTACTCCAGCTGGGCAGCAAGAGTGTGGAGTGAGAAGCCATGACTCTGTGAAGAGAGTCTCGTAAGCATGAAAGAACTCCCCTCAACCTGAAGGGAAGCCTGACAAGCTCTTGGGCCAAGCGTGTGAGTGAGAAGATTCAGGTAGAAGTGCACACACGTGCCTGCGCTTAGAGAAGCACCTGAGAGCAGCGGCATGGACCGGGAGGACGTCAGTCATCCTGACCTGACAGATGATGGGGAGGCCATGCCCCCAGTGTCAAGGACAGAAAAGGAAGAGATTTTACCAGCAGAAACAAACAGGTGCACTTGAGGTAAATTGTGGTTTCAGACATGTGACGCATGTGGTCATTGTACCAAAGAGGACAGCACCGAGGTTTTTCATGAGCTCTATGGAAAGGCCCAGCTAAGTTTTTGGTCCTGATGAAATTTTCCTCATTTCACAAGTAGTCTTCTCAAACACTGAAGCAGAGGTCTGTAAGGAGGGCTGGCTGTCCTCCCTCTTCTAGAGTCCAACAAGCCCACGCCAACAGCATGGGTGAGGTCTCAGCCTGTGCCTGTGGGACCCAGGCAGGGTGGTCCTACTGGGGAGCCATATCTGTCCAAGGCCACGTGCTGCAGGGAGGAATGATCTAGAATATCCAGGGAGTGGAAGTCCCCGAGGCTTCGCCCACCCTGCTGCTGGCTGCTGGCGCTGCCCCTGTGGGGCTCGAGTAGCTGCTCGGCTGGGAGATGGGCCCATGAGTCTGCATCGGCCTGGAGCTTTCAGATGCACTGCTCCTCGTCCCTGTCATTCAGGAGCAGAGACCACTTGTCTCCACCGTCGTCAGCTGTGGCGCTGTGCCGAGACAGCTTGTCGGACTTCAGGGAGGACAGCGACACCTGGCTGATGTAGCTGACCTGGTCCCAGGGCGTGGCCCTGGGGGAGTCCCATCGCCGGTCGTCCATGCCGACATGCACACTGACTTGGGACTCCGTCAGGGGCTTCATGTGGCCCTGGGCCTGGGCTGTGTACCTCTCCAGGTCTGGCTTCTTATAGCTGCAAAACAAGAATCCAAGAGCATTTGAACTACTCTGGACACAGGCTTTTTCTTTTTTTTTTTTTGAAGCCTGATTGAAGGCCTCTCATCCAAGTCTTTCAATAACATACAGTATCAAACTCCTTGGGTTCAGGTGTACTTTGTCCAATTTAGAAACTTCCTATCCAAACGCCTGGCACATCCTGGCACATCGTAGGCTGTCATTATTTTTTTTTTTAAATGAAAGCATAAGGAAATAAACATCTATTTTAAAAAAGGAAAAATCTCAATACACAGGGATCCCATGTCTACATACAGTCATGAGCCACATAACCATGTTTCGGTCAACGACAAACTGCATATACCATGGAGGTCGCATAAGAGTATAATGGAACTGAAAAAGTCTAATCACCTAGTGATGATGTAAGCGCAATGCATTACTCACATGTTTGTGGTGATGCTGGTGTCAACAAACCTACTGCGCTGCCAGTCATAAGAAGTGCAGTGCTTACAATTATGTGCAGTCATAACACTTGATAATGATAATAAACGACTGTTAATGGTTTATATATTTACTACACTATATTTTTTTATTGTTAAGAGTGTATTATTTCTACTTATGAAAAAAGTTTGCTGTAAAACACGATGCTGCATTACACTGGCAGCAGCCTCATAAAGCTAGTGTTTACCATGCCTCTTAATGGCATCATTTTCTCTTGTGCTTATTTAATCTCCTGTTTTGTACAGTATCATGCTGTATAGGTTTGTAGTCCAGGAGCAACAAGATATACCATGTAGCCTAGGTGTGTAGCAGGCTGGGCCATCTAGGTTTATGTGAGTGTGCCCTGTGATGTTCGCACGGTGATGAAATCCCCCCGACGCTTTCTCAGAACGTACTGGTGTCACTGTGGTTAAGCGGCACATGGCTGTATTTACATAAACAGCCCTTGAGCAGAATAACTAGAATGACCCAGCACGTGATGACTGTTAGGTGGTAAATTATTTTCTCACGGTAAATCATTAGGCAAACACACACTTTGCTTCACTCACGGCTGTCCCTTTGGTCTTTGCCTTTGGTGAGTGAATCAGGAACCTGAGCACAGCACACAGCCACGGCCAGCCCAGGAGGAGCACCGGCCAGCCCAAATCTGCCTTGTGCATGCAGAGCAAAAGGGCCGAGTGAATGCCACCTACAGAGCGCGCTCCCGCCACATGGGGACTCACCACTTGAGCTGCAGAGATGAGAGAACCACAGACACGGAGGAGGCTGCCATGGCCGCCGAGCCCATCCATGGCTGCAGCACAATCCCAAAGGGCATGAAGACACCTGCAGAGAGGACGACAACATTCACACTGCAGCCCAGACGAGAGAGCAAGGAGAGGGCCCCCCATGAAGTCCTCCTCAGGGTGGCTCAGAAGCCCCTGCTGCCGTGTGGTGACCATGTGCCCGCAGGTCTCTGAGGTAGGCTGTCTCAGAGTTGGGCAGTGGGGGCGCTGCCAGGGGACTGGGGTCTCCCACCCGCCCTGACCTTCCCAGGCCCATCTACAAGCAGCGTCACCCATTTCTGGGGATGCTCGGGGGGAGCAGGGACTCTCAGGGACCTGAGGGAGCCAGCTGTCCTGAGCACCGCGGAGACTGAGCGTTCAGACAACACACGCTGGTGACCACAGTCCTGTCTACCTGGATTGTCTTCCCTAGTGGCTCAAAACACCTTTTTAAAGGCCGTAAGAGCCAGGCCCCAGGACAGAGGCAGAGAACGAGTCCACGTCTGGGCAAAGGCTTGGGGCAGAGGCACAAACACAGGAGGGATCGGCTCCTCAGCCAGCTCTGCAAACAGAAAGCACACCAGCCTGGCCCAGGTGACACAGGAGGCCGAGCCGACAGCTAATCCGTTATGTGAGTCCCCACTAACTGCTCAGGCACAACAGGGGACCTGAGGGGGGGAAAGTCATGTTTAAAAACTTCAGCTCTCCAGGGCTGGCTGAGTGGCTCAGCTGGTTAAGAGCTCAAGAGTGCGAGCTCTGAGCAACAGCGGTTTGATGCCCGACCCAAGCTGAGCTGCCGCTGAGCTGCTGCTGAGCTGCCAACAGGTGGCAGGATGGCTCAGCTAAAAAAAAAACAAAAAACTTCAGCTCTCTGCCCAAGTAGAAGCCTTTCCTTACAGAAGTGCCTGAAACTTTCCCCTCTGGTAACAGTAATCAGCAGGGAAGAAAGGAGTTTTCAAGTGGAAAAGATCTCTCTCTTTCCACAATCATTTCTGTGAGACTGGGTAAGTCTTAGGCACTGTGAATTTTTAAGATAAGGTTCTCAAACATCAATCACTATGTCCTAGCATGTAGCAGATGCCCCCTACCTGTTAATAATGATTGTTTTTCGGACCATCTGTCTTCGTACGTGGTTCAGAAAATAGGGCCATAGGAAACAGTGAAGCCTCCTGCTGGCAGGCAGAGTCGCGGTAACCTACCTGCTGCGATGGGTATCCCAACCATGTTATAAATCAGTGCCAGCACCAGGTTGAGCCGTATTCTCCAGACAGTCCTCTTGGAGAGGTGAATGCCAGCAACAACATCCAGCAAGTCGTTCTGTAGCAGAGGAACACTGGGTGAGTCAGGACCTGGGCCCCATGGCCCTCGCCTCTCCCACTGCCTGGATCGGGGGAGGAGGAGACAGCAAGCTCACTCTGATGAGAACAATGTCAGCCGCCTCGATGGCGACATCTGTGCCTGTGCCGATGGCGATGCCCACGTCAGCCCGGGCCAAGGCCGGGGAGTCGTTAATCCCGTCTCCCACCATGGCCACTTTCTTCCCTTCCTTCTGGAGCTCCTGGACCTTGGCCACCTTGTGAGAAGGCAGCACCTCTGCAAAGACTTTGTTGATGCCAACCTAAAAGGACGAGAATAGCAGTCAGAAGTGAATACGTGACAGCACCCGGTGTGGGCAAAGGGCAGGAACAGCAGCAGAAACCCCAAGTCATCCCGCCCCACCCCCACATCGGCCTCCAGGTCCAGTCACTGCCGTCAGTCATCCAGCTCTATAGGCTCCAGGTCACATGGCAAATGTATCCCTTGTTCTCAGCCCAAGGCCTGGCAGGGGTTTGAGGCCCTCTCTGGTCTCCATGCCCACATCCCAGCCTCCCAATTCTCTTCTCCGTATGCTGTCCCAGTGTGTTTCCAAAACAATAATCAATTTGTCATTTTACCCTCTGGCTTCAAGTCCTCTAACAGAGCCCAGTTCCCTCAGGACAACATCTAAACTCCTTGGTCTGCCTCCCAAGGTCCCCTTAGATCAGGTCTCTGCCCATCTGCAGCTCCTGCCTCGTGGCCCCAGTGGGCCCATATTGTACCATTCAGCCCCCCTGTGCTCTCCAACTCACTGCGCCCCCCAGGCGGTGCTCATGCTGCCTATTGTGTGCTGGCAAGGTCAGCTTGCTGTCCCTCATTCCTCTGCCTCTTCCTCATCAGACCACTCCTGACTCAAACATCCTGTCCCCTGGGAAGGCATCCCCGGCCCCTGCCAGGCTGGAGGATAAGTTGGCGGCTCCCATGTGTCCTGTGCGCTCTCCTGTTGGAGCACCAAGCACTCCATTTATACACGGTCACTAGTCCACCCTCCCCACAGGACCGTGCGCTCGTCAGAGCAGGTACCCTCTTCATCCCTCTCTGTAGCCTGTCTGTCACATGGGTGGTGCTTAATAAGTGCTTGCTGAATGGATAAACAAGTTTGAACAAGAAAGGGGGGGTACTCAACATGTCTTTTTTTTTTCATTGCAAAGCCTGGGAAACAGAAAATGATGGAACGAATGCTTTTCCAGGGTTGCAGCCGGTTGAGCATGAATTATAGCTCCAGGCCCCAGGGATGTGATCTTTGCTGTGGCAGCATGGTGGTCCCCTGTGGGCTGCTGCACAGCTTGGAGCAGATCAGAGTACACAAAGGGAAAAGGACCCAGTGAGGGGGAAAGCACAGAAGCAAAGCTGAGCGCGGGATGCACTGGCACTTATCTTTGTTTCAAACTGCTTCTGCACGTTTATAATCAGTTTAATTTGAAAGGAGGGAGACGGCCCCAGATCCTGGATCCGGCCCATACCTGGGCGGCAATAGCTCGAGCTGTCTTGCGGTTGTCCCCCGTGATCAGAACCACGTCCACACCCATGCTCTTCAGCGTGTACGCAGCCAGGGCGGCCTCCTGCTTGACGGCATCTGCAATGGCGATCATCCCACAGAGGACCCCTGAGGGAGACACCCACAGTAAGTGCACAGCGGCGGGCCCAGGCGGCCAGAGGAGCAGATCCAACTTCAGGAATGGGGACGCTTTCCATAGTGTCATTACATGCAAAAACCAAAATGCCCAATTATAGAACAAACTGTGGTTTTGAATTTTAAAATGTAATACATTGACAGATGCATACAGAAATCTGGAAGGACGATCAAAATATCAACAAGGGGGTAAGACAATGAGTGATCCCATGTTCTTCTTTATAGCTCTAGAATTTTCCAAATTCTCTGCAAGGCACAGCTATCATTTTGCAAAGTGTCTGGCTCATAACTCCATACACGTTATCTATTAAAATATGAGAAATGTAACAAATACAGCAAATGCTACTTAGAAAACGATAAATGTCCAAACAGGTAGAAAAATCAATTCTTCCTTTTTTTTCCTCTTCCTACAAAAAACCATTTGGATAGAGTTTTTGTGTTTGCTCTCTTTGTTTGTTTGTTTTGGGAGTGAATCTTTTAGATACTGAAGCAGGATGGCTTTTGAGGCCTGAGGCGTGACGGGAGCAGAGTGAGGGTAAGGGGCACGACTCCTTTAGTTGAGCCAATTCTGGTCTGAAGAGCTGAGGGGACTATGGCTTTACAAGGACTTAGGAGAAGGCCTGGTGGTGGGAGCAGGAAAAAAAAGACAGAATGGGAAAGAGGACATATTTGCCTGGAGCATTCAAAATACAGCAACATAAATTGTTATTTATTTGCATATACCGTATTTGCCGGCGTATAAGACGATTTTTTGGCCCTGAAAAATATGCCTCCAAGTGGGGGGTCGTCTTATACGCCAGGTACACTTCAGATAGACTGCCCATAGTGCTTGCCCCGTGCCATAGTGGCCTCCCGATGCCCGCCCACTTCATTCCACATACCGTTCAGGCATCAGCAGCGCTGCTGGGTGTATGCTCGGCTGTTATGTGATTTTGCTGTTATGCGATTTTACCACACTCGCAAAATCGCACACAGCCGACCATACACCCAGTATGATAGCGCAAAATCGCGAATCGCGATTTATGTATATGTTTGATTACATACAGCCTTGTGACAGCTTTCCTGCATGTCATAAGCATTTGAATATAAATATAAATGTTGAAATCAAATCTGATATTGTTTTACCTTTTATTTGGTGTGTGGAAGGTGTGCGGAAGAGGGGGTAGTCTTATACGGCGAGTATATAACAAACTCTGTATTTTGAGTGGAAATGTTAGGGGGTCGTCTTATACGCCCAGTCGTCTTATACGCCGGCAAATACGGTACTTTTACTTCTATTAGCAGAAACTAACACTAACAAAGTAAGATTCTAATCCATCTGAGACAGTACTCAGTTGTATGTTGGACAATCTTGAGAAGCTCTGAGAAAAGCTGCAGGGATCTCACTATTTAAAGGCATGCTCTAGTTAAACCCCTTGGAAAGTGAACTGTTTTTCTACAGTAATGAATTGAGAAGGATGACTCCAAACTGCCAACTTGGGCAGGTGCAAACCATGACTGGGAAGACACTTTGGAATTCCAAGAGCAAGGAGACCAATGCCAGAGCAGAGCTGGCTCAGGGGAAAGATGGAAAGAGACAGCAAGAAAGGGCCTCGGGACTGAGACTGAAGTGAAAAAGGTGGCAAAGCAATCTCAGAAATAGGGAGGAAATTTATTTTGGCCTGACGTTTCCAAGAAACTTCACTTCTGAGAGAGCAGAAGGCAGGCATGAGCAGAACGATACCGTCAATAGCCACCAAGATGGCGGTCTGGCCCTTCATCTCGTGATCTGTCATAGCGTCACTGACGTCGCTGGAAATGGCTAAGCCGTTGCGCCTCATCCATTCTCGGTTTCCAATCAGCACGGAGAAGGTCTGGGGGGCCACATCTGTTCAAAAGAGTTTGTGGTTATCCCCAAATAGTCCAATTTCACTGTAAGAAATTACTAAAAACTATGGAATCCTTTTAACAACAAAATAATCATTTAACCGTCTGAGAAACTATAACCTAGTAAGCACCTCTCAGAACACCATCCTTAAATGACTAGGGGAAAAAGTATAATTAATGTGTAGAACACACGGGTATAATGAAAATGGGGTGTTAAAAGGCACACGCTTTATGCATAAGAAAGTTAGAAACATATCACACACGATGTGGTACCCTCGCTGGCCTCTAGAGAGACCCACCGCTTCTTTCTCTGTAGGGATTAGAAGCATAGTTATCTCTCCAGCACTAAATGCAAGTGTTGACTAGATTCATCACTGCTATGCACAGACGACCCAAAATGAAGCAGCAAGGTGAGTCTTCCACCTGTCACCTTCTAACTATGTATGCCACTAACTTAGGCGTCATTGCACACACCAGTCCCTGGACACTCAATGGAAAGGTCATTCTGGGGCTTTAAACTGCCAAAAGGTGGTAGATGGTTTCTAACAATAAAATCTGTATGAAGATTCAACTACCTACATATGTAGGAGAAAACCCTAGACAGTTTCCTTTTGTGTGTGTGTGTGTGTGTGTGTGTGTGTGTGTGTATGTGTGTGTGTTGGTGGTGGGGGCGGTTTCCACACTCTTATGCTGGTGGCTACCAAGCTATCCTTAGAATAAGGCTGTTATTCAAAGGCAGCCGTCACTCCAAGCAGTGTCCCTTCTCAGCTTGAGAAGATCATTTCCATCTGCTTTCCCTGACTGCTGCCAGCTCCATAAATATGAAATATCCCATCAGAGTTCTACCACATGGAAGGTTTCCTGTTTAGGAAGAACAAAGTAGGAATCCCATCTGTCTACTTTGTAGCTTATGAGAAAAAAGGCTAACTTGGGACAAGACAGAGGAGACTCAGAATTATGGAGCAGATAAGCAATACCCTATGGATTTAAGTGATATGCTACTTTAGTCTACCATCAGCATCAAGATTCAGATGTATCAAAGAACACCAGAGAAACTGCAGGCTTTCCTGCAGAGGGAGGCGCATGGCGCACCAGCCCACAGCAGGGGAACTATGGGTGTGCCTGGCGCGGTGCTCTCTGTCGTTTGGCACGCTGCCACTTGTCCCAGCTGGGCTCAACCCCTGGCAGGCCGAGTGGCAGAGACAAAGGCTAGGATACCTGTTTCCACAGGAACACTGCCAACCCCGTTCAGGGGAGCGGCCTGTTCGCTCAGGTGCTCGCGATGGGCCAGGATGCCTTCCACACTGCTGACTTTACAGCCGATTCCACAACCTGGCACCGCCTGGAAGTCCGTGCAGTATCCCAAGGCCTCTGTTCCAAGTTCCTATGAAGAAAGGGAGCAGGGAGAAGAACCAGAAAACAGGGGTCAGGGGGAGTTGAGAGGAAGGCAGGACAGGGACCAGAGATGGGGTAAGGGCAGGAGAGACAGCAGCACCAACCAGGAATCAAGAGGGAAAGGAGGGATGGGAAGCAGAATTACAGGGAAAGGTGAAGAGACCGACTTAATTCAGCAATTCTTTTTCTCTTCTCTGACACAGACATTATAGTTATTAAATTAAACGAAATTAATCGGCCTAAAATCTCTCCTTAAGTGGATGCCTCATAATACTGGACTGGCTGCAGACTAGAAAGGAGAAAGGCAATTCACATCAAACACCTAAAATTAAGCACGGAGGAAGGGGCGGGGGGTGAAGGTGTCAAAGAGAGGAAAGATATTATTTTTATTTTGCAAATAATTTCATTAAACTAATGGAAAAGGCAAGTGGTAACAAAGCTATGCTGAGGCTAGCAAGAGAGAACTGCCCATTTACAGACCCTGGAAGAAGGAGGGGTGATGTGGCAGGAGAAAGAAGTGAGGGGCTGTTTTTATTTAGTTAACAAAACAGCAAAGGAAAGATGACTGAGGGTGAGCAGAATTCTCCCTGAAATGTCAGAATGGTGAGGGGTGAAATGGCGGTCTGTCTGACCCTACATCAAAGACAAAAACACCAAACGAGATTTCTGGAAGGTTCCCTGTCCAAGCAGGGTTGTCAGCTTTTCCAAGGCATCCATGTCACCTTCTGCATTTACTGATAATCGTTATTTGCTCAGACCATTTAAATTTTTTCAGGGCAATATTCTGGCACTTCCTGCTGCCTCTAAATTCAGATTGAAAACAGAAAATTACATAAGACCTTTTCATCTGGCGAGATCTAAACATGAATGCCTCCCCCTTAACTGTGCCAAGAACCCACTGGGCTTTCAGTTCACTTCTGCTGGTTCCTCTCCTTTTCAGATGTCTCTGATTGAGTGGATGTCTCCCTCCCTCACCCAAAAACCCCATTCATTTTTGTATCCCTTTGTACTAAGGACTTATAAAGTACTGAATTTATACACCACCTGTCTTCCCCACCCAACCATCAGCTCCCAGAGGGCAGAGTTCACATCTTACTAGTTGTGGTACCAAGTACAGATGCTCAGTAAAGGCTCAATAAATGACTGTTAACACTGAGCTGATTTTGTGATGATCTGGAAATGTGACAAGACAACGGCTACTGTGAGCCACATCTCCACCTGCTCCAGGGGACCGGCTGGGAAGTTTTCCAGCCCATACCAGTCAAGGCCTCCTTGAAGGAAGGAGTGCAGAGGCTTTTGGCCCGGCTGGTGAGAGCAGAGGTGGCAGGAGAAGCGAGGGGACCAGCAGTGCTCAGGTCTACATACCTCTTTGCAGTATTTGGTGACAGCCACGCCTAAGGGGTGCTCGCTGCTGGCCTCCGCAGTCCCCACCACAGCAAGAACCTTCCTGAGGGGCAGTGTGGCTGTGTCCACAAGCAGGAGGACCCGCATGACCTTGGGGACCCCGTGGGTAATGGTGCCAGTTTTGTCAAACATCACAGTATTTATCTGCCAAAACAACCACATCTCGGTGACCACAAATACAGATGGAAGGGACTTTCAGAATCCACATAATCTTGAGGCAGAACTATACTCAACCTCCCTCAAGCAGGTAACAACACTCCTTCAAATTCCATGACATAATTGCCTGCAATCAATCCCAAGGTTCAGCCATTCCCCCTGTTTCCCTCTCTGCCCAGTTAAAACAATCCACATTGTGGCTCAACCTTAACCAGGCTGAGCCAGAAACTCTCACTCTGATGTAATGGAAGATGGCAGGCCACCACCTCCTGGATAGCAACACCACGGTCAGATCAGGAGCCAGGGCCCTTGGAGCTGGCCCGTCTCCATGTCCACTGCTATCTGCCAAGCCAACCATGGTTCTCTCTAGCCTGCATAAGTGCAAAACCTATTGAGAATAAAGCTTTTGCACTCCAAGTTCAAGGAAGGAAGGGAGTATTCTTTGGCAGTAATAATAAGTAACCACCGGAGCCAGTTTTAGACCTGTCCCACTTGGTCAATGGCAGCTTTGCACCAGTCGCCATGGGTCTGGGCTCAGCCGGTCAGCAGCAGCCACACTCTGGCTGCAGGCCTTTAGGCAAGTTAGCTTGCTGCCTCCTGCTGCAGTTCCCTCATCTGTAAAATGGGAAGAAGCACCACCTCAGAGTTGTTGATGAGATTAAATCAACTAATATTTATAAAGCACTTAATTCTATAACTGTTAACTGCTACTGTTGCTGCTGCTGTCATTCCATCAGTCGTGGCTTCCTGTTTTACTTAATTAATAGTGCTACCACCCTCAGGCCTCTTTCAGGTTTTTTTCTTCATATGAAATTTAAACAGATACAATTTTCACTTGACCTCTCCAAAAAAAAAAAAAAAAAAACTTGTCTGTTCCCCTTCCCCCAATTCCCCAGCACTGTTCCCATCCCCCCAATTCCCCAATAAAAATCTTTAAAAAAAAAAAAAAAAAGACCCCAAAGGTGGGCCAGGAGCCCAGCAGCACGGGGCCAACCTTGTGGGCCATCTCCAGGGGCTTGCCTCCCTTGATGAGGATGCCGTTCTGGGCAGCCACGCCAGTGCCCACCATGACCGCCGTGGGTGTGGCCAGGCCCAGAGAGCAGGGGCAGGCAATGCACAGCACTGTGATGGACGTCTGGAACGCAAACCGGATGATCACCTCTGCCTGGGAGATATGCTTGCTGGGGTTCTGAAACGAGGACAGAGAGGCAGGTGGAGAGTGAAATGAGGAACCACACAGAATCCTAGTCACACAGCACATTCCAGTGCAGGCAGTGGGGCTGGAGACAGCGTGAGGAGTGGGGTTTAGGAAACACGGTATCTTCCCCTCTGCCTTGGTGATATCACATGGCTCACGCTCTGCTCCGTGTCCCAGCTTTCTAAACTGATCCTACAGGCTTTCCTCAGGGAAAGACATTAGGAGAGCTGAGAGTCCTACAAAAATCCCTGATCGGAGAAAGAGCACAGAACAGGTAGGTCCATATCCTGGCTCTGACACTAACACAACGTCTCTGTGTCTCAGCTTCCTCACATACAAAATGCAGATAATAATACCCATCTCACAGTGTGTTGTAAAAATTAAATGATATACATATAAACATATATATCATACACACACACACACACACACACACACACACACACACAC